AAAACGTGTAGTACTGGCACAATAGGAATAGAATTGAGAGTCCAGAAATAACATCTATGCTCAACCTATTTTTGACAAGGGTGCCAAGATCATTCAATGGGGATAGTCTTGTCAACAAATGGTGCTGGGACAACTGAATACTCATATGCAAAAAAATGAAGCTGGACCCTTACCTCACAACATATACAAAAATTAACTGAAAAAGGATCAAAGACCTAAGTTAAGAGCTAAAACTATAAAACTATTAGAAGAAAAATAGGGGTAAATCTTCACGACCTTGGATTTAGCAATGGATTCTTAGACATGACAACAAAACCAAGAGCAACAAAAGAAAAAATAGATACATTGGGCTTTATCAAAATTAAAAACTTTAGTACTTAAAGGACACAATCAAGAAAGTGAAGATATCCCAAAGAATGGAAGAAAATATTTACAAATCATACACTTGATAAGGATCTTGTATCTAGACCATATAAAAACTCTTTACAACTCAATAATAACAAGACAACACAATTAAAAAATGGGCAAAGGATCCAAATAGACATTTCTCCAAGGAAGATATACCAATGGCCAATAAGCACATGAAAAAATGCTCAACATCATTAGCCATCACAGAAATGCAAATAAAAGTCACAATAAGATACCACTTCTCACCCACTAGGATGGCTAGAATCAAAGTCAGATAATAACAGGAATGTGAAGAAATCAGAATCCGCATACACTGCTGGTGGGATTGAAAAATGGTGTGGCTGCTTCAAAAAACTATTTGGCAGTTCACCAAAATGTTAAACATAGAGTTAACATTATGACCCAGAAATTCCTCTCCTAGGTATATACCCAAGAGAAATGAAAACATGTGCCCACACAAAACCTTGTACATGAATGTTTATAGCAGCATTATTCATAATAGCCAAAAGGTAGAAACGACCAAAACATCTATTGACTGACAAATGGATAAACAAATATGGTATATCCATGCAGTGGAATATTATTTGCCCATAAAAAGGAATGAAGTAATGATATATGCTATAACACAGATGACCTTTAAATACATTATGCTAAGTGAAAGAAGCTAGTCACAAAAGACCATATATATGAAATGATTCGATTCATATGAAAGTCCAAAATAGGGAAATCTACATAGAAGGTAGATTAGTGGTTGCTTAGGGCTGGTGGGGGATAGGAAACAGGAAGATAGGTGAATAATTGCTCAAGAGTACAGGGTTTCTTTTTGAGGTGATGAAATGTTCTAAAATTGACTGGTGGTGGTTGCACATCTCTCTCAATATGGTACAAACTACTGAACTGTACACTTTAAATTGGTTAATTGTACAGTATGCAAATATCTCAATAAAGCTGTTAAAAAATTAAAAATTGGCGATAAAATGTTTGCTTATGTTCAAATCAAATAGATTTTTGTAACTTCTGACAATCATCTCCTAGTTTTGTACTACCATTGCTCCTGTTCCCTCACCGTACACCTTGGCAAAGAAAAGATTTTGTAAAAGTTAAATAACAACTGGCCAGCTACACCTAATTTGTAAATAAATGGATTTCAGAATTCTTTCAGAATACAGACTATAACTAAAATATTTTCTGTATGTGTACTAGTGGGCACTATCCCTGTATCTCAGTCATTCACTGAATCTCTCTTAAGCATCCAAACAAACTGAATTTTACACGTCTTTATATTCTTGACCTACAACACCACAAGGAGTCTCATGCAACTCACTGACCGTCTCAGGGCCTCAGCTTCCCTAGGCCATCCTCCCTAAAATCTAATTCTGGCCTCATCTGTCAGTGACTTGAAACCCCATATTGTTATTGCAAGTTTTGATAGGTTATGTGATGAGTACCCTAAGAGACAGATGCCTTCCATATTCCTACCTCTTGGGTAGAACCCCTTAAATGAGAAATGGAAAATTGGAATGGTGGCTTGAGGAGTGAGCAGCACCTTGGTTTTTTTCAATGTAGGAAACAGTAGCTATAGTATCATGAAAATCTTCTATACTATATGTTAGATGTTTACTTGGTCATACCCAATCATGCCATCCCCACAGAGAGAAAAATACATTTGTGCACACAGAGATACAGCAAAAAGAAGTAAACTCGAAGTCAGAACTCAGTTCTAGAATTGATCTGCTACTAGAGATATGTATCCTTGGACAGGGAACTTAACTTCTCTGGATCTCCATTTCATTAACATACAATTTAAGTGGACTAGAAGACCTAAGATTCCTTTCAAGTTCAAAATCCTGTAATTTCAGGCCATAAAATATTAAATCACATGTAAAAATAGCACAAATATAAAGGTAGTTAAAACTCTAGTTTGATCAGATGCAAAAAAAACAAAACAAAAAAACACGTTACCTTCAAAAATGATGGTAAACATCTGTTTTGGAGTACTAGTACAAGTCTAAATTCTGTAGAATCAGAGAAAGAAGTCTTGCATTTCATAGGAATATATGTAAACTAACTACTAGCTAATAACCTTCTCTCCTTTCCTTCTGATATCCATGACCATTTCAACACTGGTGTCAAGTAGTTAATTCACAAACCAAATTTAAGTCAAATGTAATTACAATGACTATGCCAACCAAATCTCAGAAGAAATATTATTAAGCATTTAATACCCACATTTAAATGCATTAATGATTATAAATGAATTTGTGCTTTAAATGTAGAATATGTTATAAACGATAAACAATATGTTAAGGTTCTTCAACATGGGATGGCTTCTAGTTTATGTGATTGGCTATTTTGTTTTTAAGATTTTATATAGGCTTTAGCTAATCTCAAATTATTTCTCAACTACCAACAGCTGGAAAGCAATACTACTTTCATTGGTATAAAAGTTAGGCATGTTACAAACAGATCATCTAATTCCTGTACTTATCTACTTAAATAGAAAGTACAAAATTGTTATCTAAGAGTCAAAGAAAAAAATTACGAAATTGCAAACTGTAGTCTAACCTAAGCTATTTTCTTGTTTAGTAGAGCATGAAATCAGAAGATTTAACTAACTCAGAATGAGTTAGTTAAAGCAATTGATGGTTCATAACTAACACCTTCCGATGGTCAGATATCTGGCACTTTACGAGCAATACTTTTTTCAAATATAAAGCCTGCACTTCATTTGGCACAAATCTTATCCTCGTTAAGAAAGAGAAAAATGAGTTTCAAATATGTGTACTTTCCAGAACGGCCAAGTTATAAATGTGTTTTTGCAGATCATATCAATACTAGAAAAAATTTTAAAGGAACTTGGAGTGTTCAGGTAGTTGGAACTGAATTTAATAAGTTTTATTCTAAAGGTTCATGCTTGAGTAATGAAGTTTCTAGGTTACTGATATTCTTCTACTAAATAAATACACCTATATATGTACACATATATATATTTATGTAAAGAGGACTATGTTAGTGCACATATTGTCAAAGAGAACACATTAGAGACATTATATTAAAATAATTTTACGTTTTTAATAGAAAAACTTTTATCACAGAGCTAAATATACAAGGTAAATTTAATTTTTAAAAAGAAAATTTATTAGTAACAGTAGCAGAATTCTAGTGATAAATGCACTAAAATAATCTTTTGAAATAAATCATCTTTGGAGAAAAATATTAATTCATGCCAGACTCTATTCAAGTGCAAAAAGAGGAAATTTATTTTAGAATTTATACCAAAGGCGCATTATAAATACATGTTACTCTGGTACAGCAAGGTAGGAAGCCCTGCCTCCAATGATAACACAGCCTTGATCTTAATATAGTCTGCCTCTTAGTATGTGCCTCATAAATAGTTTATTCCAAAAGTTGAAAATTACAAGCAATTCTCTCTCTTGATAGCTTTATGAGTAATTTTGGCAACAGAGTAAAAAAGTCTTAACTCTTAATTTGCTAATTCTCTAAAGTCATGTCAGTCTCACAAGAAACATGATTATCATTTTCAATGAAAATTGATAGAAGAGGGATATTTTCAGACTTTTTAAACAAGTTAAACCATAAATATTTATCACATGTAAAAATAAAACAAAAAATAAATTTTAGGATAGCTTTAAATTTTAATTTTTAAAAAATATCAAATCATTTTATTTGCAATGGTGAATTAAAGTGATGAAAAGTCCAGCCAACTGGTACACAGTTACTTTCTTAAGAAGACCACTGGATGAAGCAAGTGAATTAAGAACTGTGCACACAGATGCTGAATGGACAGTCAAACCTATCACTTACATCATGCAGCTTCTTACAAAAAGTCACACTGCTATAGTCTTTTTAATGCTCACTGTTAAAACTAACTTTTTTGTGTGTGTGTGTGTGTGAGGAAGATCAGCCCTAAGCTAACACCCATGCCAATCCTCCTCTTTTTACTGAGGAAGACCGGCCCTGAACTAACATCTATTGCTAATCCTCCTCCTTTTTTTTTTTCTCCCTTTTCCTCCTCAAAGCCCCAGTAGATAGTTGTATGTCATAGTTGCACATCCTTCTAGTTGCTGTATGTGGGACGCTGCCTCAGCCTGGCCAGAGAAGCAGTGCATCGGTGCACAGCCGGGATCCGAACCGGGGCTGCCAGTGGCGGAGCGCGTGCACTTAACCATTAAGCCACGGGGCCGGCCCCAAAACTAACTTTTAAAACCCTGCTCACTTTTAAAACAAACATCAGCATGGAGTCACTCACATATGTTTACTTTTCAGTGGCCTCACATAATGATTCTCTGATTTAGAGTAGTCTCATATACACTGATGTTTTTATCACAATGAAAAAAAGAAAGAAAAAAATGGGGTTTCAGAAGACGGAATCCATGAAGAAGCTAGTAATGAATCCTTTGGCCACAGAAAATCAGCAAGAGACTGCCAATATTAATTACAGAATACAATTTATCAGTATCATAACAAAAGGGTATGATCCTTTTTTCTAAAAGACCCAATTCATTTTTATAATGAATTAAAATAACAATGTTCATAAATTATTCATGTACCTTCATGTGAGGTTTGTTTTGTTATCAATATTGATGCTTTTCTGGTACTAGTTTTTTCCTACTCTTGCATCAAAGTCTTCCCATAAATCTGTGGAAAGTCACAAATATCTCTATCCATGGGTAAACCACAAAAGTGATAATTCATCAGAATATATTTTCACCTACGTAATAAATAAATCTGTTGTGAGGTTAATTTCTCCTACTTCATATAAAATAATCCCATTAATCTATGAAAAATAATGATCATATTGATTTTACTACACCTCAAACCCTTAGATAAATATCTTTTTCTGAATACCTGTTAAAGAAAACTGCGTAAATTTAATATTCATATTTAAACTACTGAATACCTGTAAACAAAGTAGTATTTATTAAAATAGAATATACACTTAATTTATACTAAATTCCACTCAGATTTATACAAGTTTTTCATCCTTAATTTTTAAATACACACATGATTTTTTTCAAACATTATCAGTCACGTATATACAAAAGTGAAATATGACATCCAAGCCAGACTGTGATTTTTAAAATAATGAACTCTAAACATCTAGTAATGTACAATGTGTAAAATTCCAATGAAACAGGTATATTCTTATAGAAATGTTAGTCCTATAATACTGAGCGATATTTACAAGCAAACATGATCCAAACAGCACATGCAGATTCGGGGTAAGTAAATACTCGGACACGAACTGCCAGTCGCACCTGGTCTCCACGGCAACAGATTATTTCTTCACAGAAAGGAGACCTACAGAAGAAAGAAAATTTTTCAATTAAGAAGTGAACATAGGCTTTACTTTCTTATTTCAAAGTAAGTCAGTATTTAAAATAATTTTTTTTAAATCCTGTCTGCTACCAAGAGCTCTGTAATTTTGGTTGAGCTATTCAAATTATAGACTATTTCCTCATAGTCTATAAATTTAAAAAATTATACTAGACAAGATCAACTGAGATTGCACCAAAATCACGGGAAAATTATCCCAAACTATCTAGTGCTACATTTGAGACCAAATGAATCACAATCTGTGCCAGGAGGATAAGTCATTACAAAAGTTCCCCGTGTGATTCTGAAAGTCAATCCTAAATAACTACCAGACTAAGTGATTGCTAAGATTCCTTACCCAAAAACATTTATGAATTCATAAATTCCACCTTACCGAAGACATGTGGCAAATGCACGCCTTGCATTTCTATACACAAAATGTATTGGGAACCCTTTAAATGTGTGACCATCAGGTACAGCTCTCCTTATGGCATCTTGAAATTCTTCATTGCCTGCAGATATACTTGTTGTACGCTCAAATTCATAAGAAGCCAAAGCTGGTGATAAGAGATAGGAAAGCTGGTCTTCCCAAACAGTAGTGAGGCCAAGATCCTACAGCAATCAAAAGAGAAAAAGTGGAATATATTAATATTTTAAAAAACCAATTATAATAAAAATGTTGATTATTTTAATATATGCCAAGAAAAGATTGTTAAAACCTGTCATAATTTTTTAAACTTCCTATTATTATAAGAATACCTGGAAAAATAAAATAAAATGAACTACAGATATCAGGTTTTACTTCTTAGAGAAATAACCAAAAAACATTCAATACAATGATGTTAGTGAAGACTCCAAATCCTCAACTTCCTTAATATCCACTAGAAAAGACCGTATGGAATAGTCCTACTATGGAAGACACAGTGTCATTGAATTTTGAGGTCACATTTTATTTAACTTGAAAGAATTTAGTAAGATAATCTGCTTAATTTGATTGCTCCTACCATAAATTCAACTGCAGTAGGGGAGAAAAGTCAACAAACAAATTGCATATATAATTAAACTCAAATATTTACTGAGCATTTACTCTGTAAAAGGCACTGACATTTATACTGTTAAGAGATAAAAAGGTAAAGAAGACATGTTACAGGCCTTCAGGGAGCTGAAAACATGTTTCTATGGGGTGTTGAAGACAATTATGATTTTATTTATAACATCAAATGAACTATTGATATCTAGAGACATGATGTTTTTAAAAAATTGTTACCAACATAAAAAACTTCTCAAAATTATAAATATTTTGATTATCATAATAGATCTTTAGCATTTCTTGATTTCATATTCAAGGTTTTAACTGGTTCCAAGTGATCCCAAAGGTCCATGATCATCTATACTTTTTCTGCAGCAAAAAGTGAATCTCATTTGCTGGTTTACAGGCACCATTAACTTAGCTAGTGATCAACACCAGCATCTAAGCTCATTTTTTTTTCTTTTCCTATACAAAGTATTCTTAGAATGCAATAAAATACTGGTTTCATTTGTAAATAGGACCCAAGAAAAGAAAACTAAAAGCCAATACAAGTGATGGAGAGAAAGGGACAGTAATGAGGGGCTTTCATTTCCAGTAGTGTAATGAACTAGGTCCCTGACCAACCTATTGCTGAAAGCCTGCTACAAATGCCATATTAAATATTTTCCAAAACATACTTTTAAATGCTTTGATGAGTTGGCAAGTTAGTAAGGAAGATTCTAGAGGCCAAAGCTAAGAGTCATTGGGAGCCCAGAAAACATATCTGATAAATCAATTTACCTTTGATGGCCTCAAGGGACATGGAAAACAGGGTTCACCCAAGGTGTGGAGTCTATCAGGGAATCTCAAAAGGTGAATCAGAAATAAATCTTTTGTAGGAATTTTAGATTCTAGTCCTTTGTTGGTTATATGTATTGCAAATAACTTTTCCCACTCCAAGGCTGTTCTTTTCACTCTCTCAATGGTTTCTTTTGATGAATATAAGTTCTTAAAATACACTAATCTTTTCCTTTATGATTAATGTTTTTTATGTCTTCTTTAAGGTACTTTACAAAAGACATCTAAATGGCTAATAAATAAAAGGTTTGACCTCATTAGTAAGCAGGGAAATGCAAATTAAAGCCAGAATGAGGATATCATTTTACATCTACCTTAGTGTAATAGGAAAACAAAAGAAAACCAACCTGGAAAAAATACCAAAATGAATATCAAAATAATATAACTCAATATTTTTAATAGGAAATGATTTGAATAAGTACTTCACAAAGAGGAAATCCAAATAGGGGTATTCAGCAAAAATCTGAACAAGTCCACCATTCTTCATTTCTAGAAGGTTCTAGAAGCACTGGTGAATTTGGAAATTTCTGAGTCTCAGAACTTAACTCATGACTTTCAAAACTACAAACTTCATAAAGGCAGGGAGTGTATTTGCTTTGTTCAGGGCTAGAAAAGCACTATTATACATGCCAACAAAACTGTTAAATATGTAAACAAATTTAAAAAATGCATGAAACTACAAATTTCAGTGTTAATTACCTTCCTGTGTTCTGACACTAGTAGCCTTAGTTGCATTTCTATTTCATTACTTGTTACTGAAGCATCAATCGTGGACGCACAAAGAGGTGGAAAGGGAGGAAGGGATGTTGTAGCTCCTGGAGCGCACACAGATTTAATTGCTTCTTCACTCATGGGTTTCCATTTGGATTCATCATTCAAATCAAATATACAGATTTCTACTGAGTCAGAGGGCTGACAATTTCCCAGGAACATCTGATGATTGAAAACACAGCCAATTGTTCGATATGGGTACAATGGTTTGGGCTGTTCAGCAACTGGAGATTCATCAGGATTGGTAGATTTGTGGATATATCTAAAAAAATAAATCATAATTTTACATAAGAACTTAAAAATTAAGAAGGTATTAAGGCCATAAAAATTTCACAGGACTAGAGTTTAATACTTGTTTTTCTTTCTTATATTTCCACAATTTGATTGATTGATTTCCACATTAATTGTATGGCACATCTTACGATATAGAAACCAACCTTATTCCTTTAACAAAAGAATATATTCTATGTATACCGTTAAGATCAAAAACGTTTATCTCAAGTAACACAATTAAAATAATTTGGCAATACATTATTAGGCACAACTAACCAAAATGTTTATCAACAGGGAAAACGAGAACCCAGGAAAATGAGAAGAGGGCCCAGGGCTGTGCCTGTAGGAACTCCGACATTCAAGGACAAGATGAAGGAAAACTGAGAACAGCCAGAGAAGAATAATGAAAACTGAAAGACAGTGCTACGAGAGAAGCTAAGGAAAGAGAATGTTCCAGGAAGGAGGGAGCATTTAACTCTTTCAAAATCTGATAACAGGCAAAAGGACTGAAAAAAATGGACAGTGGATTTACCAACATGGAGCTTATGACCACACCAAATTTTCAAAAGAAATCACGATTTACAACTTGAGTTTATTTTCAGGATTAGAGTTGATCATCAGGAAAAGCATATGCCAATTATACAAAATTAAAAGTAAATGTAATTTATTTTTTACCAATATCATGGTGGTAAAGAATATTTTATATGTACAAATTTTCTTAGCGTTTATTTAATAGCTTTTTTCTTAATTATTTTTTTTTTTGAGGGAGATTGGTCCTGAGCTAACATCTGTTGCCAATCTTCCTCCTTTTTTCCTTTTTTCTCCCCAAAGCCTCAGTAGATAATTGTATGTCATAGTTGTACATCCTTCTAGTTGCTCTATGTGGAACACCGCCTCAGCATGGCTTTATGAACGGTGAGGAGGTCTGCGCCCAGGATCCAAACCGGTGAACCCCAGGCCGCTGAAGCAGAGCCTGCGAACTTAACCACACCACTCAGCCAGACCCAATAGCTATCTTAATTGAAGTAATTTTTTACATGGTCATCAAAAAGGCTCTAATAACTAAAATTATCAATATGTGCCTTTGAGTACCGTCAATATAAACAAAGAACCTATAATTTAAAACATTTACATCTTCATTTTAATATCCTTGTAAACTTAGTTGACTAACCTGTGTCCTGTTAAACTCTCCCAAAAAGTGATGGTTCCATCAGTTCCACAAGTCATAACCCATGCATGAGGTACTCCTTTTGCCTTAGTCCCAACACAGACAAAGGCTTCTAATCCATATCCAAGAAGGAGGCTGCACAGAAGGTTGGCATGATCTTCACAGTCACCCTACAAAATGAAAGAAATTAAAATTAAGTATTGATTCCTTCATATTGTTTCCTTGTTAAATATTTAAATATAAAGTTATTTTTCATGTGCTTTCAAAAGTTATTTTCCTTCTCATTCAAGTTATTTATTAAAATTAGAAGAAAAATACAAATTATAATTAAAAAGTATTAGTAAATTTTTCACTTTTAATCATTAGTCCAGTGTTAAGCTGAAACAATGCGGAGAGAGAATATACTAATTTTAGAAGAGCCTAAATTATCCTACAAACTCAGTGCTCACAAATCTCATAGTCATAACATGAACACTTTAAGAGGGAGCATTCAGATTCAAAAGTTTACAAAGAACTCATACAACATAGAAAATCAGTAAGATTTTAAAGATGAATAGTTAAAGGACATGAACAGATAAGCTGACAAATCATACAGCAGGAAATGCAAATAAATGGGAAAAGACTTAAAAGAATCTGTTACAGTATCTATACATGATCAGTTTAAGTAAATACACAGAAAAAGACTGGATGAAAGAACAAAAAATGCCAACAATGGCAATAATTAGGGTACGTGATATATAATTGTCCCTTCTATTTTCTAAATTCTCTTTGATAATATATTACTTTCACAATTTAAAAAATTATGAAAACTACAAAAACAGAAAATATCTGATAATATGTTCTGTGCAAAAAACCTTAAAATATTAAACAGTAAGGCTACAATTATGTGAAGATACAAATTTAAGTGCAGGACTATGGGTAGACTGCAAAAGCAAAGATAACTATTTTTTGTTTTATAATTTTATTTATTTATTTTTTCCCCCCAAAGTCCTAGTAGATAGTTGTATGTCATAGCTGCACAACCTTCTAGTTGCTGTATGGGATACGGCCTCAGCATGGCCGGAGAAGCGGTGCGTTGGTGGGCGCCCGGGATCCAAACCCGGGCCGCCAGCAGCGGAGCGCGCGCACTTAACCGCTAAGCCATGGGGCCGGCCCACAAAGATAACTATTGAGTTCAGTGTTAGAATGAGGGATGATTTCTTTCCCAAAAAGTTTTGCATTAGTGGTTCTACACGGTTGTTTTTAATTAACTGTAATAAAACAAATAGCATTTTATAGTCATTTTTAAATTGACTTTTGAAAAATATAATATCCAACCTTTTAGACCCAGTAATTTCTATACTGAGATTTTATACTAAAAAAAATTCAAAAGAAAAATAACAATACAACCAAAGATATCCAATGCAAAAATTCATTTGCAATATCAAAAAACTGGAAGTAAGCCTAACTTAGTCAAAAGAAACAGTTCCTACGATGGCGAAACAGTTAAGTAGATTTTGTATATCAACTAAAGAAAATTTTATACAGCCATTAAAAGATGGAGATCATAGGGGCTGGCCCAGTGGTGTAATGTTTTAAGTTCATGCACTCTGCTTCGGCAGCCCGGTGATCGCACGTTCAGATCCTGGGTGCAGACCTACATGCTGCTTGTCAAGCCATGCTGTGGCGGTGTCCCACCTACAAAATAGAGTAGGACTGGCACAGACATTAGCTCAGGGCTAATCTTCCTCAAGCAAAAAAAAAGGAGGAAGATTAGCAACAAATGTTAGCGCAGGGCTAATCTTCCTCACCAAAAAAAACAAACAAAACACGGAGATCATAAAGATCATAGCAACACATGGGAAAACATTCATAGCATAAGGCTAAAGCAGGACACAAAATTTTATTTATATCTTAATTATAATTATGTAAAAAATTATACACAGGAGAAAAAACAAAAAGATGAAAAATTGGTAATAGAATTATGAGTGAAATTTCACCTTCACAACAGTTGTAATGCTGCTGTCAGTTTGTACAAGAAAAATTTTTTAAATAATTTGCAAGCTTCTAATTTAAGATGTGCTTTCTCTTTAAACAAACGTAGGTAAAATAAAATAGTGAATCAAGGGGTGAATATCTGCTTTACAGAAGAATTATTTATATAATAACTTTAAATATGTGCCATTCCTACTATATTTGAAATAAAAGTTTAAATTGAAACACACAACTTTTGGGAACTACAGTTTGGGAATAAATCAAAATAATTTTTTGATAAGTAATGCTTAACTGTTTTCAATCGTCTTTAACACAAAATCTTTCTAACTGACAAATCAATCTCCAGTCTAAATAGTTTCTTCCATTGTATAAGCTTTCCCTGTGAATGCCCATACTACTTACAAAGCTCAGACTAAAGAAAATTATTTCAAAACAACAATACATTAAATTTCTTTCTGTTGTTCCAACAGAATTGGAATGCTAAAGATAGTCTTGCTTGTTTTTATATTATTATCAACATTCTTAGAACACAGAAAATTAGGAAATATCCCATAATCTATAAAACTAGTTTATTGAAATCAATTCATTTCACATCAATAAATGTACACAAATTCTTCAATATATACTTAAATTTCAAACTAAACAAAATATCATGCATTCCAAGATTTTTTTCCACATTCATTTTGTAGTGCCATTTTCTTTTAAAAAAAATGTGTCACCTAAGCAAATTTTAACCCACAAATACTAATAGAAGACCACGGTTCTGGCCCTGGTGCTGTTCCTAATTCACAGTTTAATTTACCTTTCCATCTCGGTTTCTGACACTATAGTACCTGTAGGTCCCTACCTCACAAAAATCACATTACGTTAAATAAAAAAACCACATGAAAAAATAAACATCTTAAGTTCTTTCTTTATGTACTGACATTTAAACGTTAGGAAAAATGGTGAAGAGATTCTGACTTGGTCAAGTTGACAGTATGTACATGTTTTCTAAGTTATTTCTTTTACAAATGCACCATAGATTCACAATAACTATGATGTACTGCTTTTTAATTCTATTATGTGTGTAGGATACCTTGTTTCTACAGAGAAAGGCCAGCAGAGTGCACCACTGTTCCTGTTTACCTCCTCCTCCAATAACAGGGGCTCTTTCATAACCAAGGACATTAACAAATCTTGCTGCTTGCCTTGGAGTATCCAGAAGCCTCCCAGCTCGAAGTGGTTTAACATAGGAACAGACCGGCCTATTTATCCCATTTTCATCCTGGAGAAGGAGGGGAAACACATTATCTGCAATGACAGATTAATCATTCCCAATTTTAATACTTTTTCTTAGAATACATTAATGTGGGATATAATAATCCTGGATACCACTTATTGAGTGCTTACCTTGCATCCAGCACTAGGCAGCTGAGCGCTGTACATACAATTTCTTTTTTTTTTTTTAATTTTCTCCTTTATTGTTTTAATCTTTCACGTTTAATTTTTTTAATTTTATTTACTTTTTTTCCCGCAAAGCCCCAGTAGACAGCTGCATGTCACAGCCACACATCCTTCCAGCTGCTGCCCGTGGGACCGGCCCCAGCATGGCCGGAGAAGAGGTGCATCGGTGCGTGCCCGGGATCTGAACCTGGGTCGCCAGCAGCAGAGCACACGCACCCAACCGCGAAGCCACGGGGCCTATAATTTCTCTTTTAAGCCTCATAATATCTTATTATTTTCATTTCATAGATGAAGAAACTGAAGCTACAGCTATAATGCAACAAAGCCAGGATTCAAACCCTGAGCTGTCTGACTCCAAAGGCTGTGATAGTAAGAACTTGAACTTATGATCCAGCAATCCCACTCCCAGATATATATCTGAAGCAGTTGAAGTCAGTATCTCAAAGAGATATCTGAACATCCACGTTCATAACAGCATTACTGACAATAGCCAAGATATGGAAACAACTGAAATGTCCTTCAATGGATGAAAAGATAAAAAAATGTGGTATATATACAATGAAATACTATTCAGTCATAAAAAAGGAGAGCCTACCATTCACAACATAGATGAACCTGAAAGGCATTATATGCTAAGTGAAATAAGCCAGACAGAGAAAGACAAATACTGTATAGTATCACTTGTATGTGGAATCTTAACAAAAAAAAAAAAAAAAATTTCATAGAAACAGAGAATAGAACAGTGGTTGCCAAGGGCTGGGGGAGAGAAGGGAATGGGTAATATAGGTCAAAGGGTACAAAGTCTCAGTTATAAGAAGAATAAGTTCTGAGAATCTAATGTACAGCATGGTTATTGTAAACTTGAAAGTTACTGGAAGTAGATCTTAAGCATTCTCACTACAAAAAAAAAAGTTAACTATGTGAGGTGACAGATGTGTTCATTATCTTGGTCTTGGTAATCATTCCACAACATATTTGTATATCAAATCATCATGGTGTACACTTTAAATATATACAATTATATTTGTCAATGATTCCTCAATAAAATTAAAAAATAAAAACCTCCTCTGAGAAAAAGACAGGCAGATGGGTGGCGGAAGGAGAGGGGATCTAAGCCAAAGTATTCTTTCATATTATCACATAAAATTTAATAATACATACCCAGACAGAAAAAATAACTTTTTAGATTAACTGATACAACAATGATCAGAGCTCATTTTCAGTTTGTTTCCATTACACTTGGAGATCCACAGGAAACAATGATTTGTTAACCAAGTCAATTGAAAGCAGAGTTTTAAGAATCATTTTAGGGCAACATCTTACATTTTAAAAACAGGATGTATCCTAGGATTTGAGCTAAATAACTCCTGTACATACAAGAGTCTCTGATGACTGTCCACCACTGTGCTTTCAGAGTTAATATTACCAAAATCCCTATTTCCTTTAACTTCATGATTTCTGAGACAAAGGGCCATTTTCTATTCAAAGTTCAGAGATGATTTAACACTCTCTACTATGGCAAAGCTCCTCAGAAATAAGACTTAACTCAGCCAACAGAAACACTACCTGTTTGAATTATCAGAACCACCGATGTCTTTCTACACCACGAAAACATCACTTCTCCAATACAATCCCAAGCCTCAGTAAGAAAAAAACTCACCTATTACTTACGTTTGATTATAGTGAGAAAGATCATGAATTTTTACATGAATCAAAATGACTATTATGATTTGCACCCATACCTATGGTTCTTAACTCTAAAAGGCACTGATATTTTTTTCCTGTCCTTTCCCACCCCACTTTCCTTGCTTCAACACATTCATAGTGGTCTCTTCTTCTCCATCTCCCTACGCTATCTTAAGATTCAGAAATAGAGACAAAATGAAGGGATCAGCTAGAAAAGCTCAAACAGAATGAAGAACCAAGGACAAGTAAGGAAACTAAGGAACAGAGAAAGGAGAAGGGAAGAGATTTAAGCATTGGGTGTTTCAAGGCACTGATTTTTTTGTGTGTGTGTGTGAGGAAGATCAGCCCTGAGCTAACATCCATGCTAATCCTCCTCTTTTTGCTGAGGAAGACTGGCTCTGAGCTAACATCTATTGCCAATCCTCCTCCTTTTTTTTCCCCCCAAAGTCCCAGTAGATAGTTGTATGTGATAGTTGCACATCCTTCTAGTTGCTGTATGTGGGACGCGAACTCAGCATGGCCGGAGAAGTGGTGCATCGGTGCGCGCCTGGGATCTGAACCCAGGCCACCAGTAGCAGAGCGCGCACACTTAACCACTAAGCCACGGGGCCGGCCCTTAAGGCACTGATTTTTAAAACAGAAAATCATGATTCTAATTTTGGAGAGGAAGTAGAAAACTATTATTTAGATTTCTTTCACATTAACTCAGCATTACTAATACTCTAGTGTTGTATGAGAATATTAAGAATAGCCTCAATCCTCAAGTGATTTATATCATTTTCTTAAAACTTAATGGTCTTAAAGGTCAATTTCTACACGTTTTTAAATTTCTTGCACTAGAAAATTTAAAAGCTATCATTAAGTGAATTACTATTGTACTATAGCAAAACCAGCTAGTGAAGGAGAAAAAGAACAATGGATTCTTAGGTATAATGACCCTGGGGATTCTACAGATATTTGGTTAGGGTAAAGGTAATTAACTCAGTTCTTGTGTGGGCCGGTTAGTCCTATTCTTACAATTCCACTAACGGGCAAGAAAGGGATGAGTACTCAAAAAGTAGATGCCTTTGCTCTAAATCAATCATCAACAGTAGCATCTTGGAATACAAGATACATCATTATATGTTTCAATACAGCAATATTTCTAATATTATCTAAATACAGTCCTAGAAACTACTTAAATGTCTTGAAATTTTCAATATTTCAGCCTCTAAACCTGCACTGTCCAATAAGAACCCCACCATATGTGGCTATTTAAAGGTTTAATTAATTAAAATTAAATTAAAATTTAACATTCAGTTCTTTAGTCACATTAACCACATTTTGCACGCTCAACAGCCATATATGGTTACAGGCAACCGTACTGGACAGCGTAGCTATAGAATGTTTCCATCGTTGCAGAAAGTTCTATCGAACAGTGCTGCTAAACTATTTCCTCTTGTGTTTGGAAGCACTGGAAATTCATTTTCAGACCATGTATAATAATTTTTTGGTTTAAAACTATAGTTTTTGTAATTAGATTGAACATCTTAAGTAACTGTTGATATTCCTTAATTTCAAATATAGGAAGAAGCAGTGAGAAGATAAACATTTTATTTACTCTCACTATATCGAAAGATGTGGCAGAGTCAAACCAAAAAAGCACTATTCAAAACTGCAATTTAGGGCCGGCCCTGTGGCTTGGTGGTTAAGTGCGCGCGCTGCGATGCTGGCGGCCCGGGTTCGGATCCCGGGTGCGCATCGAGGCACCACTTCTCCGTTCGTCCTGAGGCCGAGTCCCACATGCAGCAACTAGAAGGATGTGCAGCTACGACACACAACTATCCACTGGGGCTTTGGGGGGAAAAAATAAAATAAATAAAATCTTTAAAAAAAAACAAAAAAACTGCAATTTAATAGAGTCTGCCAAGACTGAGTTGCTATTTGATCTCAGAAAAGACTCTTCACTCCTCTATCCTTCGTGGTGTTTACTAAAAGTGACAATGCCTGGCCACTTAACGATCTCATATGGTTACTATGAGACTAAATGACCTCATGTGGTTCAAACTTTCTCACAAGGAATTCTAAGATACAGGAACTTGTTTAGTAGTATTTCCTAAAAGAAAATCCCAGTTTCTTAATTCTCTTAACTGCATATCCCATGCTCTTCCTCCTCCTCTTTCATTTGCCATTTCTCTGATCTAGTTTCCCCCTTCTGTCCCCCTCTGGGTCCTCTCTGGTCCCAGATTCCACATGGCACTGAATAACCTCACCTCAGACTAAAGAGATAGCAGGGAGCCAATTATGTTTTGATTGGTTTCTCTTTGTCCTTGTTCTGACATCACTGCTACCTTGCCTGCCCAGTCATTCAATGTATAGACAATGCTACTGGAAGCCTGAAGCTTTTTCCCTCATTTTCACCACTAGTCAACTAAGGTCTCCTATTCCCAAGCTCCTCATCTAGAAACTGAACCACTTTTAGCCTGTCCTAAAATCTAGGGAATGTAGAGTAATGTTAGATGTACACACAGGATCTGAGAAATATAATTCAAAATACTACTACAACCCACACATCTATGGACAGGTACTTTTCAACAAGGGAGCCAAGAACATAAAATGGAGAAAGAAAAGTCTCTTTAATAAATGATGTTGGGAAAACTGGACAGCCACATGCAAAAAAAAAAAAATGAAAGTAGACCATTATCTTATACCATACACAAAAACTAACTCAAAATGGATTAAAGACTTGATTGTAAGACCCGAAACCATGAAACTTCTAGATGAAAACATAGGCAGTATGTTCTTCGACATCGGTCTTAGCAACATACTTTCAAGTACTGTGTCTGACGGGGCAAGGGAAACAACCGAAAAAATAAACAAATGGGACTACATCAAACTAAAAACCTTTTGCACAGCAAAGGAAACCATCAACAAAACCAAAAAGAGAACCTAACAATTGGGAGAAGATATTTGCAAACCGTATATCCGGTAAGGGGTTAATCTCCAAAATATATAAAGAACTCATACATCTCAACAACATAAAAACTAACAACCCAATTAAAAAATGGGCAAAAGACCTGAACAGACATTTCTCCAAAGAACATATACAAATGTCCAATAGGCACATGAAAAGATGTTCGACATCATTAACTATCAGGGAAATAAATGCAAATCAAAACTACAATGAGATGTCACCTCACTCCTGTCAGAATGGCTATAATTAACAAGACAGGAAACAAATAAGTGTTGGAGAGGATGTGGAGAGAAGAGAACTCTCTTACACTGCTGGTGGAAGTGCAAACTGATGCAGCCACTACAGAAAACAGTATGGAGATACCTCAAAAAATTAAGAATAGAACTACCATATGATCCAGCTATTCCACTGCTGGGTATTTATCCAAAGAACATGAAAACACGAATATGTAAAGATATATGCACCCCTATGTTCACTGCAGCATTATTCACAATAGCCAAGACTTGCAAGCACCCTAAGTGCCCATCAAGGGACGAATCGATAAAGAACGGATGTGGTATATATACACAATGGAATACTACTGAGCCATAAGAAACGATGAAATCCAGCCACTTGTGACAACATGGACGGACACTGAGAGTATTATGCTAAGCAAAATAAGTCAGAGGGAGAAGGTCAAATATGATCTTACTCTTAAGTAGAAGATAAAAACAACAACAAACCAACACATAGAGACAGAGATTGCACTGGTGGTTACCAGAGGGGAGGAGGTCGAAAGGGATGATTAGGCACAGTGTGTGGTGACGGATTGTAATTAGAGTTAGTCTTTGGGTGGTGAACATGATATAATCTATGCAGAAATAGAAGTATAATGATGTACACCTGAAATTTATACAATGTTATAAACCAATATTACCACAATAAAAAAAAGAGCTAGAAAAAACAAAAAATAATAATACTACACTATACTCATATAAAAGCATGTATATGAAGCTGAACACATATAAAATATCTGACTGGTTCCTCATAAGTTACAAAAAAAATATGGATCTGATCATATATTTTATGTTGGTTTGTTAATGAGAGAAAATGGGCTTAGGATACAGGAAAAACAGAAGCAGAGATATACAGGTAAAATGCTGCAGTTAAATATTATTGGTCACTGGCAAGGAGATTTGGTTATATAGGATTTATTACATGTAATATCATTTGTTGTAAAAAAAAAAAAAAAAAAAAAAAGAAAAAAAAACCTATGCCCAGAGCCCCAGTTCTGCACACAAAAGCTGAACTTACACATAAATTGCCAAGTGCCCCAGCAGTCAATTATTTAGTACTAAGAGTCAATCAAGGACATACTCCAAGTTAAACAAAATAAGTTTTCATCTACTTTATTTTTTATTTATTTTTCCCCCAAAGCCCCAGTAGACAGTTGCATGTCATAGCTGCACATCCTTCCAGTTGCTGTATGTGGGACACGGCCTCAGCATGGCCAGAGAAGTGGCGCCTCGGCGCGCGCCCGGAATCCGAACCCAGGCTGCCAGCAGCAGAGCGCGCGCACTTAACGGCTAAGCCATGGGGCCGGCCCAGTTTTCATCTACTTTAAATCAAATACATTCAAAAAAGGAGTTTAAAAAAACAGTAATTGAAAATGAAAAGCAAAATAAAGATTGTATTATATCACTCACTCAGTGAAAGAGTATTACAAAATCAGCATTCTATTTTACAAATAAACTTTCACTTGTCTGGAACAAATACATTTTACAAATTCAAGTTAAGTGAAACGTACATATACAACAGTAAACCTCAAATACAGGTGTGAAGCTTTTCTAATACAATTTACAAACCTGTGCAAAAATCTTAACCAGCCGTGAGCTGTGTGAGGGTCGAATTTGCAAATATTCTCTCCACCACTGCTTAGCATATACAAGAAACAATCGCTCTTTCTCTGCAGTTTTTTGACGTTCCAAGGCAAGCTTGAAATTAAAAAAAAAAAAGTCAGTTTCTATTCATTCTCCTTAATTACTACAAAATATAACAAATCCATGCACTCCTTTCCATCTCTACCACCACCCTAATCTAAGCCACCATCATCTCGTCTATAAGAGCCTCCTGACTTCCTTGTTTCTATACTTTCCCCAGTACAATCCAGTCTCTACAATAGTCAGAGTTATCTTTTTTCTCCCAAGACAGACATTTTTAAATAATAAATCATATTGTTATTCTCCTGCTTAAAACTAATAAATTGCATTTTTCTAAAAAGAGAGTACTTTTTTGGATCAACAGGTAAATATACTACTATGAAAACAAATACACAAAGAAGAGAAATTCAGAATTATTTACCTGTGTGTTTACTACTTCTTGAGATAATGTTTGATTGAGTGCTGGGTACATCTCAAGTTTTATATTTAGAATTCCCACAGCAACTTTTGATTCCGTGCCTATAAATATAAATAAATATTTGAAATTTCAGAGATTTCAATACTATGTATATTTAGTCAACCAAAGTCTAACCAAAATAATTTAGGAATTTTGTGCTTTACCATTTACATGGAATAAAGATAATATTCAACATCATCTTGAATATTCATATTAAAAACGAACCAAATCAAATTAGTTTTTATTTTGTACAAAGGCCTTTATCCAATTATAAGGAGATTAGCTATTTTCTTAACTTCCTAATCACATTTTAAGGGCCTTTTTGGACCTAAAGGATTTGGGATTCTTCATTTTTATCTCCATTAAACATATAATACCAACCAGACTTACACTAAAAACAAAGTCAAAGCAACTGTTAACGCTTCATTCTCAGAAAATACTTATACTCTTTGTCACATATAGTAATTCCCATTTATCCCTTCCATTTTTCACATCACATATAAATACAAATTTTCAATCCATGCCTGGATTTAAAGAATTAGAAAACAAATATATTTCACATCAGAACTATTAAATATTTCTTTGCTGAATGAGAATACACTTGTTTCCGGGTCATTACTATGATTATGCTGTTAGGCCTACATCTGAAGACAAATAATGGGTATCTCTTTTTAAAATAAAGAGATTTATTTAATAAATCTTTTTTCTCTACTTTTTACTTTTTTAAACTTTTTTCTCTACTTTTTATTTAAGGAAAAACACATTGAGGTCCGACTTATCAAAACCTAAATTACTAAAGCTATGTAACTCTGTGACTAAGTTTCAATACCAAAGTAATTCCATGATTACATGTTATGCATAAAACACTGGTAGGTTTTGTTCTGTTTTTCATTGTATTAGCAAGTGTGTATTACCTAGCAGGTAGTATGCAAGACAGAGAAGACAATGGTGAATAAGATAGGCACCATCTCCATCTTCAAAGAGTACTATTCATTGAGATTGACACTGAGCAAGTTACCACCTCTTTGAGTCCCACTTTCCCACATGTAAAAGGTGAGGATACCTACTCCATACCCCACAAGAACTGCTGCTGTAGAAAGCCACTGGTACTAACAAGGATGCATTGTATTCTAGGGTACAAAAGAGTGGAGGTTTTCTGTGTATGCGTGCATGCCTATGTGAGTGAAGAATCTTAGTTTTCTTTATAGCCTTATATGTAATCAAATAAACTTGAAAAAAAAAAACCAGCCCTTAAAATTTCAATGCTTATTTTCCAGAAAAAAAATTTTCCTTAAGACATGGCCAGACCGACTGTGAAGTTTTACACTCATACTATTCTTCAAGACATTTCCCAAAGCTATAATACTGGGGTTCAACTGTAATTCTAATGTAATTCTTTTTACCTGTTTCCCCCTTGGCTTATAAAAGCATTTTAAAAATATAAAACATATTTACAAACAAACTGTGGCTATAAAAAAGTAACAGTGATATTAATCATCATACCTACACCCATAAGTTCCACAGTAAGATTGGTCACTCCATTTTCTGAGCCTAAAACTGATCGCCATTCGAGAAAATAGGATGCTACTAAAGTGGTCTCACCAAATATGTCTGTTTTGATTAGCACCATATGAATTGGATCACTTATTGATAACATTGTTGTTGAATCAGCCATTCTAGTTCCATCACCTAGCAACATAAACCAAAAAAAATTACACTATATTACATATTCAGCTAGGCAACATTAAAAATTCTTTTACTGAAAAGGATACTACCAATAAACTTATACAAAACCAAATAGAATAATTTGGTAATATCTCAGAAAGCGTGCAACAACTGAAAATAAAAGTACAGTCCTATTTCTATTACTAACTTTTGAGAGGACTGGTAGAATTGTGACAAGTTATCTAGTTACTTAATGCATATCAGTGTTTTCTAAGAGAGAAGTCTGCTCTTTAAAAGTACTTAACTAAAGTATATGCTACTACGATAAAAAGCCTTCAACTAGGTCAACATTAATCCCCAAACTACTTTTATCCCTAAACCTCCAGAAATAATCACTGTATTATCTACACAAAACTGAAAGATCCAGCACCTTGGAGCTAGCAATTTAAGTCACAAACTGCCTTATTAGGGTAATATTTTTCACCAGGGGTGGTGGGGGGAATAATAGATTGTGGTAGTGCATTAGCCGTCTTAGTAATCTAAAATTCTGAAGGTATAATTCTACAACTTTGCTAAGTTTACAAATATAAAGATTTCTATATTGACAACTAAAATGTAGAAAATACCTTTATAGAAAGAAACAGTGTAAAACAATTACAGGAATCAAGTATCACAATTTTAAAGTTATAAAAATGGGAGTTATAAATTCACATCTAAGCTTTGATTTTTAAAAGTTACAGAACATCATAAATCTAGCTATCTTTCATAAATGAGAAGGATCACGTCTCATTCTCCACTATATCCCCAGCACTTGCCCAGCATAGTACCATGTACCTAATAGGCATTTAAATGTTTATTACTAAAGAACCAACCATTAAAACAGTCAAAAAATAATCCTCAAGGAAACTAATTAGCAGAAAATAAAGCAAGAAGGTGCATAGAAGTAGTTTATATAGAAAAGAGCAGTAAGGGAAAAAAATAAAAGACTAGGGAGATTCATCCCTTATAAATCTCTCCTTACAATAAAAGTTGTTATAGGTGTTCCACAACAAAACATAACAAAGATTTACTCAATTAAATGACAATTTATTATGGCTCCTTACCTAAGCTTTCTCTGTGTACTTCAAGTAAAAACCCATCATGAAAATCTGGTTCACAGGCACAGGGAACAGGTTTAGAACGAAAACGTTGGTTTCGAAAATGTAAACATAAAGTAAAGGTTGAACAAACTTGTCCGGGTAAAGGCTCAGGTTCTTGCAGATGTTCCAAGAAAGCTTTTCCACCCAAAACCTGAAGGTAAAGATACCTCCGTGTTGGATCAATATTAGCTGTAAAGTGTAGCAATATATATGAGGAAACGGCCAAATATCTTAAGCAATGTGATCAAGACAACAGGAAATAATAACTGGACAGAAACAAAACAAAGACTAAAAAAAGAAAAAGAGTAACAAAAAATTTACTATATATCAGGACCATTTGCACCCAGGGAAGGAAAGATACATAATATGATCTCTTTTTCTGTGTTTACATTCTGCTACTTTCTCTCAGCTAGAAAGGAGTCAGAGCAAAAGTTTAGGGTACCTTTGCTTTTTAGTTGCTTATCCAACATTCCTTCACCTCCACAAACCAACTCAGACAATTATCAACTCAGCAAGTATACTCCTTAGATAATTATATTACCACTAAAAAAGCAAGGCCATATACTTTTTATAAAATATATTATTAAAACATGAGAAACAGCTGGTCCTATTTTTGCTTCCACTCTGCTATATATTAAATCTTCTGATATACTTCATGCAAATAAACATTTTGATGATTAGTCACAAAAATGTAAGTATTTCATTCTGGGGAAAAAAATTGAAATGCTTTCTATCAAATACCAAACACTACACCACATCTATCCACAGTACTATCCACAACTAAATTAATGTTAACAAGAAATACACATACTTTTTTTTAACAACGTTGACTGTTTATCAGTAAAACAAACAGGTTGTTTTGGAGAGGAAGGGAGTTCTTGATCAACACTGTCCTAAAAAAGCAGAAAAAAATCAAAACAAGTTAGAAACAAAAATTATAGTTAAACAAGGAAATGCTAATAATGGGACTTAGAACTGAACCACAAGTAGATAAGCTAAAGCCTCTCAAAAAACCCTTTATTTTCCTAGTATTATTAAAATAACGAAAAGCCTGCAAAAAAGATGATGCAGCCGGTCACTCCCAAAGTCTAATATTAAGGAATTAAGTTGACTTCCAGCAATGTCCATGGAATGCTAAAAACAAATCCTTAATACCTTAAACGAAGTTAAACTTTCTCTAACCTCATATAACATTTGGCTTATGATTCCACCATGAATTGATTTTAATAAGGAAGTGACGTTCACACAGCAGAAGCTGTTACTAGGTCAATTTTTTAACAAATGGGTTTATAAACGTCACAAACCAAAAAAGGATGCTGTATTAAAATACTTATTCCCTGGTGTATTATGAAGTCCATCCAATTTTTACATTATATTACCCAGGTATTGAGGTCACAGTTTCTAATTATTGCCTCATTTTCAAAAGAAGGCCTACTTACTAATTTGTGCACTGAGAGGCTACCATCTCACTACTGACCTATTTGTGTGAAAAGATTTGAAGGTTCTTACACAATTATTTTCTTAGAGAAACTGATAATTTGTTAATCACAGAGAATATAGTTCCAAAAGAGTGTATTTATTTTTAAAATAAGCTTAATCTAAAAAATTATAGAACAATACTAGTGAAAAAGAACTAGGTTATGGCTAACTAATTTGACTAAAATATATATACTTAAAGTTATAGACCTAGAGAATAACAAGAGAAAATTCTGTCACTGTAAAGAAAGGAAAATGGTACATAACCCCAATTTCATTGATACATAATCCTACTTGCTACATTCAAGGGTAGAATTAGCTTATACTTCAAACAAAGATATTACTAGACAAAATGGTCTTATTCTAAAGTGGTTTTACTAACAGGAGAGGCCCCAAATATAGACCCTATAACCAGCATGAAGCATGAGAATACACTTATACTATCAAATTTTTTCCCCTAAAAGCTCACTCACAGTAACAAAATTAAGTTCTTTCATCACATCATCAATGATTCCCCGACGTCTAAGGGCTTTAATCAAATCATCTGTTGATAACTGTTGTTGATCAGGTGCCAATTCTTCACGTATTGTCTCAGCAAGGATTTCTCTTATTCTGCCATGGACATCCATCTATGCAGAAAACTCGCATTACAATTTACAACATTACAAAGCAACCAAATATTGCCAATTAGGTAATTTCTTTCTAAAATACTGACTCAAAGAAAAAAATGGGAGAGTACACAGACTAAATTCAGGAAAGCTTCTTAAGCTAATAGTAAATGTAAAATTGTTACCAGAATTCAATAAGAATAAAGGTAAAATCTTTTAAAGGAAAAACCAAAGAAAAAATTTTTAAAGATGAATGTTTTTTAGTACAAATTCTAGAAATGATCTCTGATTATCTACTACCCTCGCTACCATTTCCCCACAAATAACACTCAACCAAAAGAAATCTTTGGAGAGAGAATACTGTATAATCAAAATAACACAAACCTGGAGGAGACAATCAAAGTATGAATTTCAGCTTTCAACTTACTAGATGTGACCTCCAGTTAACCTGTTTACCCCTTATGGATCGGGAAATAACAGTGCCCTGTCAAGACTGTGAGGCGTACACAAAAGTCGGCAAACAAGCGCACAATACACGGAGTTCGTGGTACAGCAGCTTACTGCATTCAGCTGAGCGCCTCCAAGACAACGTTCTTCCTGAGCCCCGAAGGGTCACAAATACTTGCATTACAAATCCTTTAGTAACGTCTCTTTCGTGACTTAAGAACTGCTGATTTGCTTCAACTTCAACGACACGGCAAGGTTCACCCTTAAAGTAATTCTAATTCCCACCTCTGAATATAAACCTGCTCCAAACACAACTTATACTCGACCTGACTTCCAGAAATCCCCGATAAACGCTTCATTTCCACACTGTCCTACGACACTAACACCGCTCCATCACCTCAGACTTTTACTGGCACTTTCTGGGCTCGCTCTTTCACTGAGAGACTAGAAAGTTCCTCTGGCGTCAAACCCGAGGCTCTGCGCATTCCGCGCTCCGCCTTTACTCAGTCCCGCGCCGTCTCAGCCTTTGCTCGAGTCCCCGGCAAACAGGTGCCGCCGTCCGCCGGGCCTAAGGGACGCCAGGCCGGGCGCTCAGGCCACACGGCGGGCAGGAGCGCGCCCGCGGCGCTCACCTTGCTCAGCTGCTGGTGGATGAGCTGCTTCAGCTCGGAGGCTTTCTCCGGGGGCAGCGACATGCTGGAGCCGGCGCCTCGCCGCCAATTCTCCCCACTTCAGGCGCCCCGACCCGCCCCGGAGCGCTGGTCGTGGCTGAGCACAAAGCCAGCGCCGCGGCTCGCCTCGCGCAGCTCCCGGGGGCGCGACGCCGCGTCAAGCGCGAGCTGGGCGGCGGAGGTGCCCAACTGTTGTTTTCAAACGGCGGCGGACAACCAGCCTGGGGACTGTCCCTCGCTCTGCCTGATCATCTCCGCCCGCAGCTGCCCCTCCCTCGGGGTCCTCACCCCGCGACCTCAGGGCACCCCATCGTCTTGCCTTGCCAGAGTCTCCAGATGCGCCGCCCGCTCCCAACTCTCCCCCTGTCGGGGTCCAATTCTGTCCTCTGGACCGGCAAGTATGTGGACGGGCCCCTGAGGACCCCGCGCCCAAGGACTCGAAGGACCCCGCCCGCCTGGCCCCGCCCCGCCTCTCTCGCGTCGCGTGGGGCTCCGGGGACTCCGCGCGGGGGCACGGTGCTGAATTTGCGGTTTTAGTTTTCTTTCCTCCCCCGTGGTTCCTCCGTTCCTCCCACTTCGGGACCACCATTTTGTTCCCTGCGGAGAATCGGTTCCCGACTTCGCGGGTTTCACTCTCCTGATGATGAGTCCCTGCTTTCTCGAACTCTCCACTGCCCGGCTGGGGGCTGCTGCCTCGCGGGAGGCGCCTGTTTCCCGACTCGGGGTGCTTCACCCGGCCCTGGAGGAGTACTTGTTTCTCTTCCAGGTGTTCACCTTGCGCTGAAAACATGGAGGATGTGGCTGGAGGCGTCGGTCCGAATAGAACCTTTGTTGGCGCTGTCACCAAACGTATCTAAGTCTGCGGTTTGTAGTCTTTGTTGGCTGTAGAACGTAATGTGTTTGGATATGACAGATACGTTGTACATATGTTGTGCGGGTCATTGTCTTTACGTTTTATCCTAGAAAATCTTTTTTCAGCTAATTTTAGAGTCATTCTTAAGCTAGCAAATCATCGTCGTTAACCATAAAACTACAGATAGGGTAATAAAAGTAAGTTTTGCTAGTAAACACACGGTTTTATCGCTCTTAAAAGTACCCGTATTCATTCATTGTTTTAATAAACATTCTGTTATGTGAAAATGTTAGAATAAGACTAGGTCCTTGTGCTCAAGAAGCTTACAGTCTAATTGGAAACACATGTAAATCAATAAGGGCAATAAATGCTAAGCTAGAAATTTGAGAAGGATATAGAAAGGCCCTAAGATGTATTGGGAGGGAGAGGGTCACAAGGACCTGTTAAGAAAAGCTTCATATGTGGAATCTCAAAAAAAAAAAAAACAACAACAAACTCGTAGGTACAGAGAACAGATTGGTGGTTGCCAGAGTGGGTGGGGGTGGTTGGGTGAAATGGGTGAAGGTAATCAAAAGGTACGGACCTCCAGTTACAAATAAGTCCTGAGGATGTAATGCACAGCATGGTGACTATAGTTAACAGTACTGTATTATATACTTGAGAGTTGCTAAGAGAGTAGATCTTAAAAGTTCTCATTACAAGAAAAAAAAATTTGTAACTATGTGTGGTGATGGAGGTTAACTAAACTTACTGTGGTAATCATTTCACAGTATATGTGTGTATCAAATTGTTATGTTGTATGTTTAAAACTGATACAATGTTATATGTCAGTTATAGCTCAACTTAAAAAAAAGTGATGGTAATTGAAAAATCACTTTTTGGCAATTTTCATTGTAGTAATGCACACAAGAAATAGCAATGATTCCAAAAACAATGTGCAATAGAATACTGAGGAAGAAAATTTTACATCATTTCAAAGTATCTCCCTGAAACATATGTATTAATCGCAAAAGGGAAAAAGTATCTTTGCGGGAGATACCTGGAAGCTTCGTAGCGAAAGTAATGTCTCAAAGATTATTGGTGGTAATGTTGACAGTTATCCGTGGAGTGGTGAAGAGGGAAGCCACGCTGGACTGTGTTGAATAAATGGGAGAAGAGGTGGAGATGTGTATGTGTACGTATTCACTCATTAATTCAGAGATAAAGCTCCTGCATATGTTTTAGTGGACAGCTGTGGGGAATTTTGGCTGTGGAGGGACACTGAGAAGTAAGGTGGTAGCTATGGGGGTATGTGAGATCAAGGGAGAGTTTTTTAGAAGGAAAGATATTAGAGCGTTTGTATATGCTGACGGGAAGAATCCAATAGTGAGGAAAAGATGGATGATACAGGAGAGTGAGGGTCTACCCAAAGCAGCAAAATCTTTGAGAAGAGGAAAGGGAATTACAGGAGAGAACCAGGGGATTAGTAGGTGACAGCAGTGAGAAGTGGGAGAGCACTCTCAGGGACCCAGAAAAATAAGATGAAGGCCAAAAAAGAAGCAATTGCTGGAAGAAGGCAAAGGAGGCGCTACATTAAAGAGATGCAGTGAAGAGCGAGTCAAGGAAAATTAGTCATGTATTAGATGTGGGTGGTCAGGGAAAGGGAAGAAGGTTCCTGGTTTAGGTAATTGGGTGAATTACAAAATACAAAATATGGGAAGAAGTTTGGATAAAAGTTTGGTTTTGTACATGTTGAATGTGAGTTGCCTGTGACGTAACCATGTGGAGATGCCCATTAGGCTCTGGAGTTCACCTTTAAGTCATGGGGATAAATGTGTGTGTGTGTGTTTAGTGTGAAAAGAAGCTCACTCCAACCTTTAGGCACTAACAAAGCAAATGGAAAGAAGACCCAAGAGTGCTTTTGTTCATACCTCACAGCCTTTACGCTTGCTTTCCCACCGCCTGGAATAGTCTTTTCCCTGGTCTTTGTGTGGCTCCCTCCCTCACCTCTTGCAGGTCCATAGTTACTTGTCGCGTGAAGTGAGTCTTTCCTTGATCACTCTGTTTAAAATTTCAACCAACCGCATAACACACACTCTCACTCACTTAATTTTTCTCCATAGCACTTACCACTGTATATTTTACTATTTATTTTGTTTTTTACAGTAAACCACTCCCTCACTAGAATGGAAACTCCACAAGGGCAGGAACTTTTGTCAATTTGTTTTACTGCATTCCCAGTGCCTAGAGCAATGATTGACACATAATAGGTCATCAGTAAGTGTTAAAGCAATAGTGTCAAAGATGGTGGAGGCCCTGGTGACACCTCAGTTGCAGCTAATGAAAGAGTGGGTATCTAGCTGTGACGTGCCTGAGCATAAGCGTTCAGTTCTAGTGCTGTGATTACTGTCTTCTGTCTAAAATTTTAAAAGTGCTGCTAATTTTGATGACTTAATGAACATATTTTTATTATTTCAGCCAGCTGTGTCTGTTGGAAATGTTGGCCAGCTTGCAGTAGATCTGATTATTTCTACACTGAGTACGTGTAAGATTGGTTACTTCTATACCGATTGTCTTGTGCCGATGGTTGGAAACAATCCGTATGCAACTGCAGAAGAAAATTCAACAGAACTCAGTACAAATGCTGAAGGTATGTAAGACTTCTGCATGTTTTATTCTACTACGAGGTAGAGTTGTTTTAAATTAGAAATAGAGGCTACAGATACTGTTTTGTAGCAAACATTACTTAGTGCCAGTTTTGTGCAGAATTTGCAATACAGTCACATTGTCCTATTCTCTTACATCCTCGTTTTAGTTCTTAGCCTTTTCTAAATGGCAACTCCTATGAGGGATGAGATTGTACTTGTATCTTTGGGTAGAATTTGAGAGTTCCAATTTTTTAACATGGTTTTTTTTTCCCTTTTATCCTCAGTTTTATTTTCTGTTCCCATTGGCACATGTAAGCATGACCTATACGAGGGAAAGGGGAAAAGAGAATTCCACTGGGCTCAGTCCTGTGAGTTTAATATGTGCTACCTCATCTAAGCCTCATAGTCATCCCTC